TACTAAAATTCTTATTTATAATCACTGAGATTGGTAGTGTAATTACTGATAGCATACTCCTAGTGTTGTATATTTTAGTTTATACAATACTTAGACTATATAAAAATATAGGTAGCAATATTTAATGCTTCTCTTACTTTTACTGGATTGGATTATAGCATACATTAATAAACCTTTTTTTAAAGATTTATTTATTTGAAAGAATTACAGAGAGAGACACATAAATAGACAGAGATGTTCCATCTGCTGTTTTACTCCCCAAGTGGCTGCAAGCAGCTGGAGCTGGGCTAATCCAAAGCCAGGTGCTTCTTCCAGGTCTCCCACATGGATTCAGGGGCCCAAGTATTTGGGCCATCTCCTGCTGCTTTCCCAGGCACATTAGCAAGTAACTAGATTAGAGGCAGAGCAGCTGGGACATGAACCAGTGCCCATAAGGGATGCCAGTGTTGCAGGTGGTGGCTTTACCTTATATGCCACAGCACCAGCTACAGCCTATTCATTTTAAATTAATAACTAAAGATTATCCACTGTTCAGCCTCCTGGCTTTGGCTTGGCCCAGCCTCTGCTGTTGTGGACATTTGGGGAGTGAACCAGAGGTTGAAAGATCTCTCTTCTTATGTCTCTCCCTCTCTAACCTTGCCTTTCAAATAAATAAATGAGTCTTTGAAATAAAAATACATACACACATACACACACACACATGGTACCAACACAGTCGGTAAAGCAGGAAGCAGCCCCCATAGGCTTCCCCCAACCTCTGGAGCCCTGAGCAGGCCCATGACCGGGGAAGCCCTCGGCAGGTCCGGGCCAGCTGTTGGGACCCATGACCCCCGACCCCGGGCCCCAACCCCTTCAAGGTCACCACCGCAGCCTCCTGTTTAGCTGGTTCTTAATCCTCAAGAAGGGATTTAGGTCAATGTTCTATTCTCATCAATGACCTTGATGTTTAATAAAAGATTCTGTTAGTAATTTTAACCCTGGGTGGTTCTAAAGATGTGCTGTGACTTAGGTTTAGAAAAGAGCATCTTCCTTGCCACCCTCATCTCAGCTCTGGGGCTGCCAGTTCTCCCTGCACAGATTCAGTAATGCATGCTTCTTCTCTACTACAAAGAACTTATGTTGGTCATATTTCCAGTTACCAAAATCAAATCAACTCACACCTGGACTCTGAGTATTCAATGACATTATTTATCAAAATAAATGTATTCAAATATTCAAAGACCACTTCAAAGCTTAACTGCCTTCAAGAGTTTTTGGCACTTGTAACAGACACCGTGGTTTTCTATACACGAGCACTATTTTATATACCATTTAACAATTCAAACATCACTTCAGGTTCAGCAATACACAATAGAATGGATGATTCTACATAATAAACATGTTACATTAGTTTGGACTTAAAACCTAGAACTAAAACCATGTGGTAACATGGACGGATTTAAGGAAAGATGTACAGCTAGGTAGCTAAGGCCACAGAATCCCAGACCTATTGATTTTAAGTGAGTCTAGATCACCAGCATTCCATTGCATTATCTTCCATCTCAGAGTCCTGCTTTTCCAGCGAGACCCACCCCACTCAGACCACATATTTCCTGCCTGTGTCTGTACAGTGGTGGAAGCTGTTCTGATACAAGTGTCTCCTGGACAGTCTCCAGCTCCCTGATTCACTACCTGAACTGGAATCAACAGTTGTGAGGGATGTTTCCCAAACACCCAGGCTGAATTCAATGTCAGTCTCTTTGACAGTCACAAACTTCTGCCTTAGGAAACAGAACATGTCCTCTACTCTGGGGCTCCCTTTTTCTTCTCATGGGGTTCTGTGGTGATCTGTGGTTTTCAACACAAGTCCTGCTAGCATTATAACTCAAAAAAAAAAACAACCCACCAGGGATAAGAGTTCTTTCTGGGGGCTGGTGCTGTGGCATAGCAAGTTACACTGCTGCCTGCAGCACTAGCATCCCACATGGATGCCGGTTTGAGTCCCAGCTGCTCCACTTCTTACCCAGCTCCCTGCTGGGTAAAGCAGCAGAGAATGGCCCAAGTGCTTGGTCCTCTGCCCCAATATGGGAGCCCTGGAGGAAGCTGATGGCTTCAGCCTGGCCCAGCCCTGGCCATTGTGGCCATTTAGGGGGTGAACCAGCAGATGGACTTCTCCGTCTTTCCCTCTTTTTTTTCTCTCTGTAACTCTGCCTTGCAAATAAATACAACTTCAAAAAGTTATTCTCCACCAAGCTATACACCCTTTTCCAGGCAGCTGTACAGCTGGGAGTTGTAGCTTCTTGTATATTTTGGATAATCAGAGTTTTGGTTTGAAAGCATGTTCATCTGAAACAAAGATCACTCATTATCCTTTGTTAGAGAAGGGGGCTCTGCTCTTTGAAAGTGAAAATCAGAAGCTGTAACGTGTGATGAGCTCCACCTGCCAGGGCTGGGATACTTAGTTGAAAGCCAGGACACCAGCAGAGGAAGCTTTTCAGATTCCCTGGCCTTTGCTTTAGTCTTACTTCTTTTGTTGCTTCTTGGTGCCAAGGGTGTACACTTTATGCTGAAATGAGGAATTGTGTCTTACCTCTTTAGTTTTTTTTTTCTAAGAAGACTGTATATATTTATCTTGGATTTAAGGATAGCTTCTGGAGTGGGTAGATTTTTTGGAAGTTTTCACAAGTCAGCCAGTAGCTTATATTTTCTTCACAGAATTCAGTTTTTAAAAAAGCCTTCAATACAGCCAGACCATCTGTAGGGAGGGAAGAGAAGGTAGAAAAATAAAAAGAAACATGAGGAATATGAGGAAGCTAGTGATCAAATAATCCCTTGTGCTTTTCTAGTACTAGGATTAGCTATTCTCTAGTTTTTACTCAATCCTGTAATCCTGAGGATTTAGCTCTTTAAAGACAAAGATGCCAGTAGGCAAAATACTTGAAGTTGGTGCCATACTACTACTAAAACATAAATACTTCAGTTTGTTTTAATGCCAAAAATATATTTGTAGGAGAGGCACAAATCCTCAGGGAACTAAGTCTCTTGCAAACACTGCATGCAATGAAAAGCATCCTCAGCCTCAACCAAGAGCACTGCCATTGCAGAGCTAAAGGGTGATTTATCTCCCTCACCTGGGGTGAATATGCTGAGAAATAAAGGGAGATAAACAGATCTTCTAGGTTAAGTCGAATTCTCCTTGGTGAGCTGCTTACTTGAGGACACAGCCTTTCTGCACTCTTCCCAGGCCATGGCAGAGAGCTGGATCGGAAGTGGAGCAGCCGGGACTTGAATTGATGGCTATATGGGATGCCGGCACTGAAGGTGGTGGCTTTACCCGCTACATCACAGAGCCGGCCCCTAGTCAAATTTATATTAATCTTTCCTTTTGTCCAGTACAGCCATGCAGCTTCATATAATTTTGTCTTATTTTAAATAGCTAAATATAATTTTTATCTTTTTCTTTGAGGCAGTCTTTGGAAAGACATCCCTCACATTAATCTTCACTAATCATAGTATTCAACAAGTATGTTAGCTTCCTCTTAAGTCATTTCATTCACTCTGATGATGTCAAGTTTCATTGGCAGCTTAGATCTCTCTGTCTGTCTCCCCCACCCCTTGATCTGCAGGTTGTATGTCAGTTGTCCTTTGAATTTCTTCACAGATTTGACCAAAGAAACTTCAAAAATGATGTGTCCAAATTCAATCTGATTTCTTTCTATCATATCTTTTGTATTTTTTCCTAATTTCAGTTTACAGCACAAATGTCTACCTGGTCCTTCATGCACATGGCATGGAATTAAACTCTGCTTGTTCTGAAGAACAAATTAGTACTGAATTCCCTTCGTGTTCTCTCCTTTTTTGCTTTTTATAGTGAGTTACCTTCTCTCCTTACTGGTATCTGCCTTGTTGGGTAGTGGTCATGTCTTTGAATTCTTCCCTTTTCACTGTCCATTTAGCTCTTCTCCATTTTCCTTCCAGGGTATGATTTTAAAATGTAAATTTGGTCAAATAATCAAGTAACTTATCACTTTTACTGCTCCCTCACCCAGTTATGTCCACTCTGTATTTTAGGTGGTTGGTACAATTGTAATTATTTGATTGAAAAAAATATAGGCAGTCTTATGAACATATTTTGGTTTATAACAATTTTACAAAAACAACACATAACATTTTTTGACAGGCAGAGATAGACAGTGAGAGAGAGAGACAGAGAGAAAGGTCTTCCTTCTGTTCGTTCACCCCCAAATGGCCACTACGGCCAGCGTGCTGCGCCGATCTGAAGCCACGAGCCAGGTGCTTCCTCCTGGTCTCCCATGTAGGTGCAGGGCCCAAGCAGTTGGGCCATCCTCCACTGCCTTCCCAGCCCACAGCAGAGAGCTGGACTGGAAGAGGAGTAACTGGGACAGAACCACACCCCAACTGGGACTAGAACCTGGAGTGCTGGCACCACAGGTGGAGGATTAGCCTAGTGAGCCACGGCGCCAGCCCACATAACATTTATATTGTTGGAATTAGATCAAGTATGTAAGTGAAGAGTCACTCAATTATTAGTTCCTTGGATACTGTTATTTCCTTTATCTGACCTCATAGCCCAGGAATACCCAGCTGTGATGCTATGTGTAGCATCATTCTACTGGCTTCTGTTATTTGTGCTTGCCCCTTCTGATTTATGTTGCATGATAGTCATGAACACTTTATTGCAGATCTAGCCACCATTGGTGTTTTATTAAACTGTAACCTGATGATATGAAAAATCCATTTTTAAACAAAATTTATTACCCATATCTACATTGAACATATATCTCTTAGTTCATCTAACATGTTATTTCAGGTGTGTGTACTTATGTCTAGAGACTGCATTGTGTGCTCCTTTCAGAGACATTGGGAAGAAAGTTCTGGATATATAGGGAATCTCTACTATAGTGAAATTAGAATTATAGAATTAATAGAATCAAGACAGTTTCATGTGATTCTGCTTTCTGTTTTTTCCCTTTCTGTTTCTATACACTGTACAAATTAAGGTACATCTTAGTAAGAGGCATATAAAATACACTGAGAAGAATGCACTCCCAGGCAATCCAGAATGGATATGTTGAAGAGAAATGTGCTGTCATAGGGGTTGCTGACCTAACTGTGGACTTTGAGGAGTGGCAGGACCTGGACAATGCTCCGAGGACTCTGTACACGGATGTGATGATGGAGAGCTACAGCAGCCTGCTGTCCTTGGGTGAGTGACACTCCTCAGTCAACCCCAGTTGGGCCACATTTTTCCCATTTAGCAGATAAGTAACTTATAAAGTGCATTGCTGTTCAGGCCTAGGAGTTAGTGCTTACAGAATGTGAGTATTCACACTCTACAGCAAAGGATTCACATTGACCCTTTTCTCACACAGATCCTGAAGTCAAGCTGTTGTCTTTCAAGAAACCTGACTTACTGAGTTGACAAAGTCCTACATTAACAGGATTGTGTGTTACCAAACCTGAGGTGGTCTTCAAGATGGAGTGAGGAGCAGAGCCATGATGGTAGAAGAAGTTCTCAATCAGAGCCTCCCAGGTCAGTCAGCACCTACTGGGTAGGAGGCTGGGCCAGGAGAGCTCAGCAGGTGTTCATTGTGTAGAGCTCCTTTCACTGTTTCCCCAGGTTCCAGCCATAAGTACAGCTGATTTCAAGCATTAGACACAGGCATTCCACTGCCTCTAATGAAGGTTCCTCTGTATTCATCCCTCATCCTTCTTTTTTCTAGTTGATGGACATTTTCTTAGACTTACCAAGAATGCAGTCCACTTAAGGCCCTGCTAAGGCTTTTTTCTAGGTTAGGTACATTCTCTAAATCCTAACTTGTCCTTTTCTCCACTTTCATACATATATTCCTTCAGGAATTGATAAATAAATAAATATATAAGGGGTCCAAGAACAAAGCCTCTTTGTAAGTCAGGATGCAAAGAAGGCTTAACATAAAAACACAGAAAAGGCTGTTGCTAGACTCACCAAGAGAACCAGGAAATTCTGGATGGCAAGGCCATTATGGGAACCTTTGGATTCATATTGAAGGCTTCAGATTAGAATGGGATGGTTTGAAGTTAGTATTCTTCCTTCTTTTTTAAAATTACTGTGAAACAACCATGAGATAAGAAGTGTATAGAAGTCCCAGTTTTCTGTGAAAGCAGGAGGCAACTGAAGCTTCAATATAGAAATCAGTGGGCTGGCACCATGGCTCACTAGGCTAATCCTCTGTCTGTGGCGCTGGCACACCGGGTTCTAGTCCTGGTTGGGGTGCCAGATTCTGTCCTGGTTGCTCCTCATCCAGTCCAGCTCTGCTGTGGCCTGGGAAGGCAGTGGAGGATGGCTCAAATGCTTGGGCCCTGCACCTGCATGGCATGGGAGACCAGGAGGAAGCACCTGGTTCCTGGCTTTGGATTGGTGTGGTGCGCCGGCCACAGCACGCTGGCCGGAGCAGCCACTGGGGGGTGAACCAACGGAAAAAGGAAGACCTTTCTTTCTGTCTCTCTCTTTGTCCACTCTGCCTGTCAAAAAAACTTTTTTAAAAAAGAAGAAATCAGTGAATTATCAAGCAGGAGTGTGTGATCTAGGAATTGAGAGAATACCAGGGCTATTGATCTCACAATCAGCTGGAAACCCCTTTTCAACAAAGGTGAACCCTACTGGGTGTCACAACCAAATCTTTTAAACCCATATGGAGAGGGTTCCCAAGGTGGTAAGTTAGGATGTTCCTATACCCATTACAGTTCTGAAATTGTGAAGATGTCAGGTTTCCTTAAGCATATTAAAGACACTGTCAACATTTACTGTGTGGAAGAGATTTTTCATTTGAAAAACCCCACAGTCAACTTTGCCCTGGGAGGACTGAAAATGATACAGCCATGGTTGCAAAGCCTGCTGCTAAGCTATCCACTTGCATAGAGGACAGACACATGTCTCTCTCCCACCTGGAAACTATGGGTCTAAGACAAATATGCCATATTTAATGCTGAAAAATTAACAAAGGAGAAGAAAACACACTATTTTGTGAGGAAAAACTACTGGAGAAAAGAGCAGAAAAAGCAAATGGTTGCTAAAAAGCTGTCAACTTAATACACCAGCATTTGATAGGCACTGGGAGATTATTTAATGGATTAAATATTTCTCCACTTTTAAAATGTTTATTTATTTATGTTCATCTATAGGAAAAGCAGAAGGACATTGATAGACCTGAGAGACAGATCCTCTGTTTGCTGCTTCTCTCAAATGCCTCCAACAGCCAAATTTAGACCAGGCCAATGCTAGGTGCTGAAGTCCCCTGAAGGTCTGCCACATGCCATATTATATTATAATATTATATATTATATATAATTATATATATTATATATAATATATATTATATTATTATATATTACATAATATTGTATAATTATATGATATATTAATGTATATCATATATTTTATATATATTTACATTTATATAAATATATATTACATAATATTGTATAATTATATGATATATTAGTATATATTATATATTTTATATATATTTACATTTATATAAATATATAAAATATATTATATATCATATATAATATATAAATAAATTATATATAAATATTTATATAAATACATATATTTATATAAATATATAGTATATATAATATATTTTTACATATAATATATAATATTATATAATTGTATAATTATATAATATTAATATTACTAATATCATATAATATATTATAATTATATTATTAGATTATAATATTACATTTTAATAATAATATAATTATATTATGTTATTATTATAATAATTATTTGTATTTCATAGGAGAGAAAGGCAGTATATACCTACCAGACACTCTAGGGTTAAAAAAATATTGTGCTGGAGTGGATGTTTGGGGTAGGAGGTGTTTTATTAAGATGCTGGGTGGGATGGCCACAGCCCAATTGGAGTACTGGGGTTGGAGTTCTTCCTGTGTTTCAGATTCCATTTCCTGCTGTTCTACTCCCTGGGAGACCGTAGGTGATGGTGGCTCAAGTTGTTGGATTTTTTTTTTTTAACAGGCAGAGTGGACAGTGAGAGAGAGAGAGAGAGACAGAGAGAAAGGTCTTCCTTTTGCCATTGGTTCACCCTTCAATGGCCACCGCAGCTGGCACATCGAGCTGATCCGAAGGCAGGAGTCAGGTGATTCTCCTGGTCTCCCATGCAGGTGCAGGACCCAAGCACTTGGGCCATCCTCCACTGCACTCCCTCTCTGCACATAGCAGAGAGCTGGCCTGGAAGAGGGGCAACTGGGACAGAATCCAGCACCCCAACTGGGACTAGAACCCAGTGTGCCAGCACCACAGGCAGAGGATTAGCCTATTGAGCCATGGCGCCAGCCCTCTTATCAGTTCTTTCACTAATAGACACCTAGATGGATTCTGTGTCATGGCTACTGTGACTTGCATTACAGTGGGGGAAAGACAATGCTCTGATATGCTGATTTCATTTTCTTCTGAAATATTTAGTCAGGAGTAAGATAGCTGTGCCATAGAGAGGTAACTTTATTTATTTTAGAGTGACCATTCTTTTCTCCATATTGCCTATGTTAATTTGCATTTCCATCCACAGTATATAAAATTCGTTTTCATATCCTCAGCATTTAAAAAATTTTTTGGGGGGTAAGATGATTTTTTAAAAAGATTTCTTTATTTAGATAAAAAGGCAGAGTTACAGAGATGCAGAGGTCTTTCATTTTTTAGTTTACTCCCCAGATGGCTGCAATGGCTGGAGCTGGGGTGATCCAAAGCCAGGAGCCAGGAGTCCCCTCCAGTCTACCATGCAGTTGCAGAGGCCCAAGGGTGTGGGTCATCCTCTACTGCTTTCCCAGGCCATAGCAGAGAGCTGGATAGGAAGTGGAGCAGCCAGGACTGGAACTGGCACCCCATGGGATGCCAGAACTGCAGGCAGAAGCTTTTTTTTCCCCAAGATTTACTTGCTGGGGCCAGTGTTGTGGCACTACCTGCAGCACTGGCATCCCCTGAGTGCCGGTTCGAGTTCCAGCTGCTCCACTTCTGATCCAGCTCTCTGCTATGGCCTGGGAAAGCAGTGGAAGATGGCCCAAGTCTTTGGGCCCCTGCGCACATGTGGGAGACCCAGAAGAATCTTTTGGCTTCAGATCAGCTCAGCTCTGGCCATTATAGCCATTTGGGGAGTGAACCAGCAGAATGGAAGACCTCTGTCTCTGGCTTTACATCTCTCTGTAACTCTGTCTTTCAAATAAATAAAATAAATCTTTAAAAAATATTTATTTATTTGAAAGTCAGAGTTACTCAGAAAAGGAGAGGCAGAGAGAGAGAGAGAGATCTTCCATCCACTGGTTCACTCTAATTGGCTGCACCGGCCAGAGCTGGGCCTATCCAAAGCTAGGAGCCAGGAGCTTCTTCTGGGTCTTCTACACAGTTGCAGGGGCCCAAGCATTTGGGCCATCTTCCACTGCTTTTGCAGGCCATAGCAGAGAGTTAGATCAGAAGCGGAGCAGCCAGGACTCGAACCGGTGCCCATATGGGATTCTGGCACTGCAGGCAGTAGCTTTACCCACTACACCACAGTGCCAGCCCCACGTGCTGGCTTTACTTGATACTCCACAGTGCTGGCCTGCACTGTGTTTTGATTTGTGTTTATTTAATGGCTAATGACATAGATCATTTTCTCACATGTTCTTACCATCTATATTTATTTTTCTGGGAAATATCTATGCAGATCCCTGCCCATTTCTTTTCTGCATGAAATTCTGGCCTCAAAGAGTTTGGGAAGACTCCCTGAATTTCAACTTTTTGGAATAGCTTGAGAGGGATCGTGCTATTTCATTTTTAAAACCTGGTAGAGCGCTGGCGACGCAGCTCACTAGGGTAATCCTCCACCTGTGGTGCTGGCACCCCGGGTTCTAGTCCCAGTTGCTCCTCTTCCAGTCCAGCTCTCTGCTGTGGCCTGGGAAGGCAGTGGACAATGGCCCAAATGCTTGGGCCCTGCACCCACATGGGAGACCAGGAAGAAGCACCTGGCTCCTGGCTTTGGATCAGTGTAGCTCCAGCCATAGTGGCCATTTGGGGGGATGAACCAACGGAAGGAAGACCTTTCTCTCTGTCTCTCTCTCTCACTGTCTAACTCTGCCTGTCAAAAAAAAAAAAAAACCCACCTGGTAGAGATTGGTAGTAAAGCCATCTGGTGCTGACCTTTAATATGTTTGGAGACTTTGATTCCTGTTACTCATTATTGACCCATTCATGTGTTCTCTGCCTTTGTGGTTCAGTTTTGATAAGCTATATGTATCCAGAAATTAACCATTTCTTTTAGGTTTTCAGTTTGCTAGTGTAGTAGTTCTTTTCTTTTTAATTTATTTTATTTACTTGAAAGATAGAGTTACAGAGAGAGGTTGAGACAGAGAGAGAGGTCTTCCATCCACTTATTCACTCCCCAGAAGGCCGTAAAGGCTGGAGTTGTGCTGATCTGAAGCCAGGAGCTTTTTCTGGGTCTCCCACATGGGTACAGGAGCCCAAGGACTTGGGTCATCTGCTGCTGATCTCCCAGGCCATAGCAGAGAGCCATATCAGAAGAGGAGCAGCTGGGACTAGAACCAGTGTCCATTTGGGATGCTGGGCTTCAGGCCAGGGCATTATCCCACTGCACCGCAGTGCTGGACCAGTGTAGTAGTTTTTAATAATCTCTAGTGATCTGTTGTATTTGTATGATAATATCTTCTTTTTTTCTTTTTTTTTCTTTGAATCTATTCCTTGTTTTCTTAGTGTAGCTAAAGAATTATTTTGGTTTCTAAAGAACCAACTGTTGATTTTATTGATTTTTAAAGTTGCTTAAGATTATTTCTTTCTTCTGCTCTGATCTTTATTAACTTTTTTCTACTGCCATTTGTTCTGGCTCATTCTTATTTTCTAGGTCCCTGTGACGAGTAGGTAGGTTGCTTATTTGATAATTTTCTGTTTTTGATGTTTGGCCACCTGAAGCCATACTTTTAGTTTCTTTTTTCTTTTTGCATTCCTTCAACATTTATTCATTTTTAAAAAGAGATAGTGGCTCTTAATACCTCTGAGCATCCACTTTGAGACTTTTTATAAACAATTAACCATTTTTCCCACAACTATATCCTGTACATACTTTTTTACAAGTTCCTTGTTTCTTTACTTTTAATATTTTTTAAAAAAATTTATTTAATGTATGTAAATTTCATGTATTTCCTATATGCAGATTTGGGAACATAGTGATACTTCCCATCCCACACTCCTTCCCACCAATGTTCTCACTCTTCTTCCTTCTCCCTCTCCCATGCACATTCTTAATTTTTCAGAGATCTACTTTCAGTTAATTTATATTGATAAGATTTACCTCAACTGTTGTTCCTCAACAGTTGAAACAAGGGCTGTAAACAATCATCAAACCTCAAAGTGTCAATTTCACTACTATAGATTACCTTATAGGTACTCTATTAGTTACCACAGATCAGGGAAAACATATGGTATTTGTCTTTTTGGGACTGGCTTATATCACTAAGTATACTGGTTTCCAGATGTATCCATTTGGATGCAGATGACACTTCTGTGTAGTGTTCCATAGTATATAGTACCATAATTTCTTTATCCAGCCTTCAGTTGATGGGCATCTGAGTTGATTTCATATCATGAATTGAGTTGCAATGAACATGGGGGTACAGAAAACTCTTTAATATGCTAATTTCATTTCCTTTGGGTAAATTTCCAGGAGCGGATGACTGGGTCTTATGGTAGGTCTATAGGTACCTCCAATACTGTCTTCCACGGTGGCTGTACAAGTTAACATTCCCACGAGGAGTGGATTAGAGTACATTTTCCCCCCACATCCTCACCAGCATTTATTGTTTGTTGGTTTCTGTATGACAGCCTTGTTAACTAGGGTGTGGTGAAGCCTCATTTTTGTTTTGATTTGCATTTCTGTTGGCCATTTGAATTTCCTCTTTTGAAAAATGCCCTCAGGGCCATTACTGTGACACAGCAGGTAAATCTACAGCCTGCAGTGTGCTTCCCATATGGGTGCCAGTTTGAGTCCCAGCTGCTCCACCTCCAATCCATCTCTCTGCTGTGGCCTGGGAAGGCAGTAGAAGATGGCCCAAGTCCTTGGGCCCCTGCACCCGCATAGGAGACCTGGAAGAAGCTCCTGGGTCCTGGCTTCAGATTGGCATAGCTCTGGCCATTGTGGCCAATTGGAGAGTGAACAAGCGATGGAAGACCTCTCTCTCTCTCTCTCTCTCTCTCTGCCTCTCCTTCTCTCTCTGTAAATATGACTTTCAAATAA